TCGTCACGCCAAAGACCCGGGTTTGATTCCCGACATGGGTACAATGTGTGAAGCCCATTTCTGGTGTCCCCCGCCGTGATATTGCTGGAATATTGCTTATATTTGCAATTTTAGAGTCGCTGAATACTTTTGTCCTTGTCTTTTTCTGGAATTGCCCAACTTCTGCATCAAAAACAACCTTACAGACACCTTCCTTTTTCTGCCGACTGAAATTCGTTTAAATGTTTTTACTGCCAAGAAACTGCGAAAAATGATAAACCAACCTGTCAACACCTATATCCTGTTAATCCCTGGAGAATAAAGTAAGGCTTTTGATGACTATACTATAAAACCGAACAAGGCGCTGTACCCAAATCTTCCCATAACATAGTAACAATTCCTACCACTTCCAGTTGTCATAGTTATCTGTATATCCATTCTTATCAGAAATGATTATGTCCATAATTTACCATATCTATTGAGACGTATCTTTGCCTATGTCCATTGTTTCTTTTACGTACACAAACGTGTCCCTACCTTTGTTTTTGCTGAACATTAGTCAAATGCCATCTGTTTTTTGCATTGTATTATCATGTCTGTATCACCTTTTATCCTTATCTACCAATGTCAACTCAATGTTTGTTGGCTTTTGAGGACAAAAGCTTCCCATTGCAGTGGGTTATTGTCACAGCTTTCTTCTAACACCATTCTTAAAGTAAATTCAATGAAGTGAACGCACTAACTGACTGCTGCATACAAGATATTTTGTTTCACATATGCGGCTAAACTCACCGTCACTCCTGCTGTGAGACATTGGCCCATGATGCAAGTCTGCCCAACCAGGCTTATACAAAGGGTCACTCTCTCAGGGAACCAGTGATTGGTGTGTTAACTACACGTCACAGGGTCGGCACACAGTCAGTCCGACTGAAATAAGGGTCAGTTAGACATCATACCTACCTACTTGAATATAAACCTTAACTAATGACACAACCATCCATGGTTACAGCTGATCAACCGCTGACACCTTGGATGTTGTGATCTTTAACTATGTAACATAATGAAGGCCTGAGTTGTATATATACAGCGGTTGGTGGTGGCAACTTCACTCTACCTCCACCTATTAAACTCCAAAAACTCAGCAGCCTCCTCTGTTTTTCAAGGTCATAGCCAGTCATGACCACTATGCACTGATAATTCCCCCAAATATATAGTGACACCCTAAAGACGTCTAGGTCAGAAACATCAGATAATGTAACACATAGAGGAGTCATTCTAAACACTAAACGTACATGTACGAATATGATAGTGAGATGTTGCCAAAACACAAGACACACAGTAAGTTCGCTCAAGTTTGCAGGATTAAATAGTTAAATAGTTCCGCCCTATTGTATGTGTTAAAAATGGCACCGAATAGCTCTTTCTATTAGCTTCTATGTGTGTGACCTGCTTAGTGAGTGAGTGAGTTGGGTTTAACGCCGCTTTTAACTATTCCAGTCATATCACGGCGTGTCAGCTTAATGTGGGAGGAAAGCCCGAAGTGATGCAGGTCTCAGACGTATACCACTTCGGTGAAACCCATGAGCACGGGTATGGTGCTGACAAACCTAGAAACATAATCGGGGCGAACCGGGATTCGAACCCACAATCATAGGTTTCTGGCGTGCTCAAGGGACGCAACTCTGCACAGCGAATCGCGGCGCCTTAGACGACTGGGCCACCCGTGCCCCCTGACCTGCTTAGTGGCATACGCGGTAAAGATACTATTTAAATAAAGAATACTCGGCATTTTGCCAGAGTAATTTAAGGTCTAGACTAAAAATCATAAGCTGATTAAACCAAAGCAAGTCTGGGAATGTAGATTCTAACAGGATACATAGACAAATGCAAGCTACAGCTCCCCAAGTCTGTCCAAACTCATGCTACTCTGCTATGAAACGAATTATATGTGCACACTTAGCCTCAGTCAATGTTCATGATATCCAAATTAGAAGTAGAATACATTGCACAATGATATTAACTGCTTGTAAATATATCCTTAAAAATGTCAATTTGAACTTTATCAGTCCTGGAATATTTCCTTGCAAAATTGAATAGAGATAAATTGTATGTGATGCAATATACTCATATGAGGAAGATCGGTGGAAACACAGGTCAATTCACTCAATAGTTAAACTACATGTATACACATGCACAAAAGTTAAGCGCCACCATATTCATAGTCTCTTGATTTCACGTGTAGGAATCAGAAATACGAAATATGATGATGTATGACTGAATTAGGCTTCCATAGTTTCATGAACCCAAATTTGTCCAGATACAAGGAAAGCGTGGCTTTACGTGTTGCTGCAGTTCCCCTACCCTATAAAAAGTAAAATTCAAGTTTCAGACATGTGGTTGCATTTTGCTCCTGTGTGAGATTCCCCTTCCAATAGAGGTTGAAAATAAGCCATGGTGAGGAGAAAGTTAACGAACGCTGAAAGATGGCAAGTGATAGGCATGAAAAATGCTGGCATGTCTTGCAGGGCCATTGCAAGACAAATGGGTCGTCATCACAGAGTTATCACTCGTTTGATTGTCAAACATGGTCAAACCAATGATGTCAATGACAGGCATAGGTCTGGTAGGCCAAGAAAGACCTCTAACAGAGAGGAAAGACGTCTCTTCAGGATAGTCAGACGAAATCCATTTGCCACTTCAACAGATTTAAGACTGCAGTGGATTACCCATCAGAGAATCTCAACGATGACTGTAAGGCGTCGCCTCAGAGCGGCTGGTTATAACGCCAGAACTCAACTGACTGAGAGGCACATGCGGAATCGTCTGAAACGGTGTCGTGCCGTAGTCGATGGAACTTGCCAACTGGAGAAGGATCCATTGATCTTACCAGTGTCGAATGCTGCTACGAACTGCTGATGGTCGAATACGTGTTTGGAGGCAACGTAACACTCGTTTTGCACCAAGGAACATCCAGAAGACCTTAGCATGTGGCGGGGGGTCTGTCATGATATGTGTTTCCTTCGGCTGCAAACTTCCGCTGGTGACAATTCGTGGAAACCTGAATGGCCAACAATACCAAGATCCCGTTCTTCGTCCAGTGGTAGTCCCTCATTTTGACAACCATCCTCTTCAGAAAAGACCTGTTTACATGGACAACAATGCTAGACCACACAGATCTCGGGCAGTTTTGGCTTATTCGCGTCAAGAAGCTATTGCCACTCTTCCTTGGCCGGGCTGTAGTCCGGATCTTAATCCGATTGAGCATCTCTGGGACATTCTTTGCCGGAAAATCAGACATCGTGATCACCCAGTTCAAAATCTCACTGGACTTGAAGCCGCACTTCATGAAGAATGGATCCGTTTGCCTCAGAGAAGCATTCAACTACTTGTAATGAGTATGAGGCGCTTGGTTGAAGCTGTGGTCAATGTCCGTGGATCATACACACGTTACTAACGTTTCTGTCTTGCAATAGACTCTGCACTCACTAGGGTGTCTATGTGACACCTGAATTGGTCTGTTGATCATGACAGTTGCATGACAATAAAAGATTTTCAATGTCCAATCCTTTAATTTCTGGTCTTCGGTAAAATTCCATTCTGCTCATATTCTTTTGGAACACAAGATAAACTTGCTTTGGGACAACTTTTGCATCGCATGAGGTTTACATATACGGCTAATAACAATCCAGCTATCTGGCGGCGGTCTGTAAATAATCGAGTCTTTGACCAGACAATCCAGTGATTGACATCATGAACATCGATCCACGCAATTGGGATACGATGACTTGCATCAACCAAGTCAGCAAGCCTGACCACCCGATCCTGTTAGTCGCCTTTTACGACAAGCATAGTCGCCTTTTACGGCAAGCATGGGTTGCTGAAGATCTATTCTACCCCGGATCTTCATGGGTCCAAAATTTAAGTAACAATTCAATTTCTTTTAAAAAGTCAATATGTGAACGAGCACTGACATTAAAAAGATCCTTTAAGGATGAAACTTTGAAATAGTTATCCCTTGTGATGGAAAATCAACAGTCAAGCAGGACATGCTTGCAATTGGCCGTGATTCTCTCATCACAAGGGATACAAAATGGAGGATCCTCGCCTTTCAATATATATTCATGAGTATATCTGCTATTGATAACACGACATCGTCGCATTATGTCCTCTTCAAATCTGGACTGACAACCCAAGTAGGAGTAGCCAATAGTTGGTTTTATTTCATGTAATTATTTATACCCACTTGAGTGTCCCACTTCTTTTGCATTAGATCATGGATGTAAGATCTAATTACGGGTTTATAATCACTGTATGAATTAAGAAGTGGTGTCACAGATTTCTTGAGTGCTGCCTTAGCAGTAGCATCAGCCATTGTGTTACCAACGATCCCAACATGGCTGGGTAACCAACAAAAGACGTATTCGCCAGTAGCAAAATCATTAAACAATTCAACAATTTCTATTAAAAGTGGATGTGTGGAAGACATGTTTTTAATAGCTTGAATTCAAGAAAGAGTCTGAAAAAACAATGAACTATTTATGTTTAGTTTGGCTGTGGATGTATTTTAGAGCTGTAAAAAAGCATTTGCTTCTGCTGTGAAAATAGAATATTTATCTGGTAGTCTGGTTGAGATAGTTCTGGGTCCAATGATGGTGGCGCTGGCAACATGATGGTGGCGTTTGATTTTCTTGTCACTGAAACCAACAGGTATGCGGCTCAATTTTTAGCAGATAAGATCAACACGTTGAAATTACATTCACGTGCGAATAATTGGAAAAATGTTGACGCCTCCGAAATGAGAGCTTTCATTTCTATCTTGTTTGTGATGGGCCTGTCAAAGAAGCCATCTTATGAATCGTACTGGTCAAGTGACCCACTAATTGTATGTAAAAGGTTCAAAGCTATCATGTCCAGGGATAGGTTTATGCAGATTCTTATGTTTTATTCATTTTAATGACCATGCCAAAGACTTCCCCAAATAGGACCCAAGGCATGACAAATTATTCAAAATAAGACCTCTAATGACAATTCTTGGTTCAGGATGGCAGAGGCACTTCCAAAAAGACAGGGGGGTATCTGTAAATGAAAGTATGATAGCATACAAGGGTCGAACAGGTTTGCTGCAGTATATGCCAAATAAGCCACATAAGAGGGGGATCAAGTCATGGGGTCTGGCAGACAGCAGGACTGGGTACATGTTGAACTAGCAGGTTTAGACAGGGAGACCGCATGGTTTTGCCTTCCGAGGTTGTCACGTCATTGTGTCAACCACTGTATGGTAAGGGTCATCATGTCTACATGGACAATGTTTTCACTTCGCCCCATCTTTTCCAGGATATATCTGACAACAAGACAGGTGCGTGTGGAACACTGAGGGACTACCGACTGGATGAACCACAGCCTGTCAAGGATGCTCGACCCAATGCTGGTGATGATCCGCATTTATTAAGTGAAAATTAATTCCTGCACATCACATGGACAGATAAAAGAAAAGTCAACCTCTTGACTAGTATTCATAATGGTTCTTGTTTTTTTAAAAGAGTAAGATCAAACACTTCAGCAAACTGCTTCAGGGAGGAAAAAGCCAAAAGCAGTTCAATTGCACAGTCAGCACATGGGAGGCGTGGACCTGGCAGACAAGCAACTGCAGTATTACATGGTGCTCCACAGGTGTTGTAAGTGGTGGAAAAAGGTATTTTTGTACTTCATGGAACTTTCTTTCAACAATGCACTTGTCATCTACAAAGCTGCACACCCAGGTAAGAGGGTCAATTCTGAGAAATTTACATTGGTCGTTGCAACAAAGTTTCTGGAGGGATATGATCGACTTGAAGGAGGTAAGCCTCTGCAGCAAGCCTGGAGCGTCCTGCCAGACTTACAGCTCGTCATTTCCCTGTTAACATCCAGGAGAAACCCCCCAAAGGTAAGAAGTCATTCAATGATTGTGTCGTGTGTTCGAACAGAACAGCATCAGACCACCTTCATTTGCAAGAGCTGCAATGTTTACATGTGCCCTGTTCCATGTTTTGAACGGTATCATTCATTAGTAAATTATAGAATTACATGCTACCCATGTCTTCATGATTTAAAGCCAACATGTACTGTTATATCTTGTTTCATGTTCATGTTACTGTTTACAGTTATGGTTGTCAAACCATCATTTTGTTTGCAAAAATTAATACAAAAAAATATTCTATGCCAATCTGTATATAGATATGTAAATGATAATGTTTCTCTATTATTTATGTATTTATTAATTAATTTATTTGTACATATTTTGTTTCATGGAAAAATATTAATCAATGGTACTAAATACTGACTTATTCAAATGCTCCCTTCGAGCATCATTGGCAGAGACGCCTATGATATACCTGGAAAGTCCTGACAGACCCGTGAAGATTCCGGGATAGAATAGATCTTCATCAACCCATGCTTGCCGTAAAAGGCGACTATGCTTGTCGTAAAAGGCGACTAACGGGATCGGGTGGTCAGGCTCGCTGACTTGGTTGATGCATGTCATCGATCCCAATTGCGTGGATCGATGCTCACGATATTAATCACTGGATTTTCTGGTCCAGACTCGGATTATTTACAGACCGCCGTCATATAGCTGAAATTGCTGAGTGCGACGTTAAACATCAAACCAACCAACCAATTAACCTTGCCTGACATATTAAAGAAAGAAGAAAAAATGACAATATATAACAGTAACTGAAAATGTTACAAGGGGCAAATTATTAAGCATTAATAAATCTATCATCAACTCGCAACCAAGGAGGTATTTTAAATGTTGATATAGAATCTAGCCTAATTTAAATTTTAAACCTTATGTGAAATGGTTCTAAATTCAGTTATGCTATATATTATATATTTGCTTATTTTTTTGAATATGTTAATTTCTGCTTATCGTAAGAGGCGACTAACGGGATCGGGTGATCAGGCTCGCTGACTTGGTTGATGCATGTATTCGATCCCAAATGCGTGGATCGATGATCATGACATCAATCACTGGATTGTCTGGTCCAGACTCGTTTATTTACAGACCGCCGTCATACAGCTGATATATTGCTGAGTGCGGCGTTAAACAACAAACCAGCCAACCACGATTTTGTTTAGTGTATGCATCATGCAGTTGAGATTAGATCTATCTATCAAAGCATTGTGAAACATAAATTTTGTCACGCCCTTTATTGCGCACCTGCTGTGGAGGGTGATCATTATTGCCGATCCACGATATCCAGAGACGTATTGGTTGGTTGTTTTACGCCGCACTCAGCAATATTTCCGCTATATGACGGAGGTCTGTAAACAATCGATTCTGCACCAGACAATCCAGTGATTGACGTCATATGCGCATCGATCCACGCATCAACCAAGTCAGCGAGCCTGATCACCCGATCCCGTTACTCCCCTTTTACGGCAAGCATGGGTTGCTGAAGACCTATTCTACCCCGGATCTTCACGGGTAAGAGACGTATTGCGTGGGGCACAATTATTATTGCGAAAAATAATTATCAGCGTGTACATCGCAGAAACACGAATCATATCCATTTATATTCACCGTAACATCGACTGGTCATTCTTAAATAACAATAAAAGTTCAAATAAAAGATATCGAGAAACTTACATGTGGCATGTTGATTCATCGTCTACCGTTTCCGGGTCACGGGAGCACGCAAGGTCAAACAGATAAAATATTACGCCAATTATATCGTCAAAGCCATATTTTCATTTCATATTAGTGGTGATTACTGATAGTGTATTGATTTGTGTTTATTCTGTATGTGACAGGCTATTTCAAAATTTACTGTAATTGTTTCGTTACGAAAGATTATCAGCAGACTAGCTACCCCTATCTGTGACATAACATCCGGTGATCTTTGCACTTACCATCGACTGAGATGATAGTCAACTTTCGCCAAGGCACATATGTGAAGACAATGTAAACTTGATATAAAAATAGCAATACGTTATGCGAAGCGCGCCACGTTTGATTTTCATAAGTCTGCCAGCATCATGTGACACGGGATGTGTATTTTCTTATATCGTCAATATTCACCCAAAACACTTGAAATTAGGATTGATGAAGATTTTCAAGTCATTAATTGTTTCCTGCAAAATTAAGAACATGACGCCAAGGCACATATGTGAAGACAATGTAAACTTGATATAAAAATAGCAATACGTTATGCGAAGCGCGCCACGTTTGATTTTCATAAGTCTGCCAGCATCATGTGACACGGGATGTGTATTTTCTTATATCGTCAATATTCACCCAAAACACTTGAAATTAGGATTGATGAAGATTTTCAAGTCATTAATTGTTTCCTGCAAAATTAAGAACATGACACGTCAGATTAACCCGAGTGTTCGTATTTCTGCAACTGACATGATAACCTCGAAAAATAAGGTTTTTTTCTGTTTACGTTTGGATAATAAATTTAATGAAATGATCCATAATTTACCAGCGCTTTGTTATTTGACGATAAAAAAATCGAATTATATAATACTAACTTAAAATTAAGATATTGCACAAATTTGACGATTTAAACAGGTTCCTTACATAAAACACAAACCAGCTTCAATAACGTAATTCAGGTAAGTTCAAGAAAAATTACAAATGTAATGTTCGCTTTTGTTTTTAACCTTGATATGATTGAAAACATCAGGATATTTCTATATGGTTAGATCAATGTGTGGTTTTCTGGAATAAATGTGCAAAATATTTCTTCAATTGGCCCTTGTATTATGAAGCACCAACTGTTTGAAATCGCCCACCCTCTTTAGAGCGCCATATGCTAAAATTAATCCAGCAGGCAGGGGTAAGAAGTGTGAAAACAATTCAGCAGGCTAGAGGTTAAATAAGACATACGTAAATAGAATATGTAGCATGTGTCGTTTTAAGCAGGCCTCTAAGACGTATATGTGTCTTGGAACAAGAACACATCTAATATGAATCCATAAAGGCCCTCTCAAGACCATAATAAATCAATAATTTGATTTTCATCTACTATTTAAACAAGTGTGAGGTATTTCTTTCATGTCATATTATACTAGACAACTGAAGACATCTCTATGGATAAACGTAAAGGGGCATGATTCTCATGAAGGATGAATATTTGATTAATGCATTTTCAGTCCATGAACTTGATCATAACAGTAAACTACGGATCACTATATATTCTGGGGATCCCTGAATGTTTTTTTATTCTTAGCTTAACCTATTAATAAGAAATTAGACAAGAATTAATATAACGTCAAAAGTCTAATAGTCAAAATTTGTAATATGCGACAATGCATATACATTTATGAAATATAGTTATGCAAATGGTGGAATTATCTTGATAAGGATATACATGTAAGTGTTGCCCTATAACTTGGTGTATATTTTAATGCACGCTGAAGGATTGTTCAATGACAAGGGTCCAGCATTGTGCTTTTGGGTATATATGGCTGCGGTCTGTAAATAATCGAGTCTGGAACAGACAATCCAGTGATTGACAACATGTGCATCGACCCACTCAATTGGGATCGATGACATGCATCAAGTCAGCGAGCCTGACCACCCGATCCCGTTAGTCGCCTATTACGACAAGCATAGTCGCCTTTTTAAGGCAAGCATGGGTTGCTGACGACCTATTCTACCCCGGTTGGTTGGTTGGTTGATTTGTTAGTTTAACGCCGCGCTCAGCAATATTCCAATTATATGACGGCGGTCTGTAAATAATCGAGTCTGGACCAGACAATCCAGTTATTGATATCATGTGCATCGATCCACGCAATTGGGATCGATGACATGCATCAACCAAGTCAGCGAGCCTGACCACCCGATCCCGTTAGTCGCCGTTTACGGCAAGCATGGGTTGCTGAAGACCTATTCTACCCCGGAATCTTCACGGGTCTTTTGGTCAGTGACCTGTACAGATTCAGGCATTCAAGATCAGAATGGGACCCCTGTATTCCACGACTTGTAGGGAGCAATGGTGTGCCTGAAGTTCAAAGCACTGCAATTTCGTGTGCAGTGTTGCACTTATGCGTGCTCGACGCCTATGATCATGGTTTCGAATCCTGGTTCGCCCTGATTGTGCTTTCTGCCATACTCGATCAGATACTCGTTGGTTTCACAAGTTTTTTAAAAACATCAAAGACCTGCGTCAAGTCGAGCGTTCATGATTTGTCAAGCTGAACCGACATGGTGAAACGTTCTGAAATACTCGCAATCCTCTCCGCTTTTCGTTGATAGAATCTCTCAGGCGATGAAGAAACTCAGCATAGTAGTCTTTTGACTTTCTAAGTTTGTTCGATTGTTTGTTGTTTAACGCCGCACTCCGCAATATTCCAGCTACATGACTGCGGTCTGTTGGTTGGTCGGTCGGTTTGTTTGTTGTTTAACGCCGCACTCAGCAATATTCCAGCTACATGACTCCGGTCTGTTGGTTGGTCGGTCGGTTTGTTTGTTGTTTAACGCCGCACTCAGCAATATTCCAGCTATATGATGGCTGTCTGTAAATAATCGAGTCTGGTAATTAATATCATGAGCATCGATCCACGCAATTGGGATCGATGACATGCATCAGCCAAGTCAGCGAGCCTGACCACCCGATCCCGTTAGTCGCCTTGTACGAGACTGCGGTCTGTTAATAATCGAGTCTGGACAAGAATCTCTTACGACAAGCATAGTCACCTTTTAGACTGGAATATTGCTGAGTGCGGCGTCAAACAACAAACCAACCAACCAACCAACAAACCGTTTACGGCAAGCATGGGTTGCTAGGTATGAGGTAACTGAAGCGATGCATCTAATGATTTGACTATTTTTTACTAGTCTGTTCCAAAATGCTAGATGATTTATGTATGATGCTCTACTCTTTTCATCATGATTTAAACTTAATTATAAGTACGTTTGCATATTCGTATGCTGATACAGCCGATACGCTTCTTGTGTATTCCAACATTGTCCGCAAAGTTTCTCAGTCCGCTGACAACAACACCCCGCCAAAGTAAGAAGCAGGTGCGTCATAATAATAGCTTGGTTGCTCTGGTATCACACCCACCTCCTCCCACTGGTCCAAATGATGCACAGCTACAGCAGAAGGACCAACTTCCATGAGCTCCGTAGCCGTGTACGCTATTCCATATTGCTTCTTCATGAAGACGAACATGTCAGCGTTTTTTCTCTTAAACACGTCCAGCTGTAGGTAGAACAAGTAGGTTCCAGAGACCGGTGCAATGAACGTCCCTGAGGTCATGTTGTAGCCAGAGCCTAAGTTCTTATCGACATGACCGAAGTTCACGGGAGTGTAAGCATCAGTGCGGAGGGCAGTTGTGCCGGCTGGGTTCCCCACATGGAATAACACGGTTTTTGATGCTGAAATAAAGGTGAAAACATCAGGACCTAAAATGTATTTTTTCTTAGGTCGACTTATAAGTCGACCTAAGAAAAAATACATTTTGGTTTGAAAGACAGATTACCTAAAAAAAGCTTTTAGAATCAAATTGTATTTCGATAATTGTGTGGGTACAATTAATCTAATATTGTACCTAGTCCATGAGCCAGAGAAAATTTGACTACCAAACAGAGGGACAAATTACCAATATGATTTTCAGCTAGCTTGATGTCTCAACTGTATAATTTCATGTGATGGACATTTCAGATGCCCAGCTAAATACGATTTTGGCGGCCATTTTCCAAGATGGCGGCCATTTTTTCACTTTTTCTACAGATTTCAGAAATAAGCTTATAACACAGAATTTATTAATTTCAGACAACTTTTATTTACTGATATTGTTTCAGCACTACATTGCACACATTCTGTTATGCTTTTTGTATATCATTGAGTTATAATATTTGAGTTAATGTTGACATTATATAAAGAAATTACCCTTTTTAACATTTTTCTGACATCTTTTCTTTCCAATGCAACGTTGTTGAGTAATAATTCACACCTTATGGTAGATAAAAAATGTCTAATGTATTTTCATATATAAAATACCATTTGGAAGTTAAAACACGATAGTGCATAAACATAAGCAGCCATTTTTCAATATAGTCCACTTTTTCACAGATAATTAAAAAATTAAGAAAGTCGTACATATTGCAACCAAAACTTGTTTTTATATTTCCTAGCTAAATTTCCAAGAATCTAAAGTGTTCAAAGTTAAAATGTACACATTCTGATATTACATTTATATGTGTTTAATAATAACATCAAAAGTATACATATAAACAAAATTCCTATTTCATTCCCACCCTTCTGCAATTAAATGGATCTCTAAGACACATAGATCAATGTCCGGTACCAACTTAGCGTTAAACTTTCAAATAAAAAATAACATTTGCAGACAAATATAACTTGTTCATAATTCAAAAGCCACCACAGTCCTTCTACTTCACAAATCTTCTACTTCTTAAAAATCAGCATCTAGTAATATCAACTCACCATTTTAAACAGGAGACTGTTTGCTAGAGTTTCATGCCGTTGACATTAACATTGTAACACAATTTAGCATGAATATGGCCAGTACTTGTAACAGTTTCAAGAAAATGTCTATAACTAATAGACATTTCAACAATGAGGATGTCTTATTCTGTCCCAAAACCTGCTATGTGATACACATCCAACTGTCAAATTCAGTCATCTTCATCGCTTGAGTCTTCTGCATCTTGATGTATCTCTTCATCATTGTCATCCATGTTGGAGCAGGGTGACAACTTGCAGGCAGAGGTACATTTAAGACCATTTAATATACATGTGCACTCACGTGGTCGACAAGTACGAGAACATCTGCATGACATCAAACCAAGGACCACTTCTGGAGCTGGCAAGCCCGTCAACCATTTGATTGCCAGATTTCCTGTCTCGTTTATTTCCCAACCATGGCCTGCAGAGGGATCTGGTAAGTCTGGAGAATTTTCAAGGCTCCTCCTCCAAACCGCTGACTGGTAATTAGCATGGAGGGTATGCTGGAAAAGCGCATCTTTACATGGTGGCAGCTGTCCAGATTCAACATCCCCGCCTCTACCTCGAAATATCTGGTAACGCAGCTCATTGACCTTGTTTACCGTTGTGTTGCTGCAATATAGCTGACAGGTAAAGGATTGGATGATCTTAAACACTTCAGGAGAAAGATGCCACTCAGTACCAAGATCTCCAAAAGCCTTTCTGAAAGTTTCATCTCTTAGAAGCAGTTTTAGAGCCCTCAGCTTGCCGTGACCAGCCAATGCACTCAGAGAGTCACATCCAGTCCATGCATGTAGCCCCAATAAAGCTGCACAAGCTTCACTTCCTAAAGCTTCAGCAAGTTTTGTTATGTCCACAAGCCTCAAACGAGCTTTTGTACCTCGTCTGATAATGATTCTGCTGTTGATCTTTGTGCTGAGAGCAAGACAGATAACTAGCACATCTGTGTCATCTGTGACAAGGACCAGGCCTTGATATTCTTCTGAGGCATGCTTAGCATGCAACAGTAAACGAGTATCAGCTTTCTTCGTGGCATGACTCCAGGCGTGTTACATTTTGCCATCCCTCACTCGTTAACTGAATGCACATACTTCCGTGTGTAACAAACATAGTTTTGTTACCGAGCTGTTTACGTCGCCTTAGCTCTTTCCAACTCTGTGCCAGAAATCTAGTGAGGTTGTTCTTACTCTCGGTACATGCAAGAAGTCGTCTCCAGTTTTTCAGTTTGTGTCCTTCTCTTATCTGTGTGAAGATAATGCCTTCAGTTGAACCCCGATTCAGACGCTCAGCTGACTTTATTGACTGTTCCCTGTACACGTCAAACACCACATCAATTCTGTTACATCCCTGACCAGCATGCAACATCTGGGCAAATACTCGATCAGACAGCTCATCAAATGTGTGATTTTCGCCGTGGATTTTCTGAATGATGGCCATAGCATCAAGAAGAGCAGCACTTTGGGTGGGGGTACCATCTGCAAACGACACTTTAGTCTCCAAGTGTTTTGCCAGAGCAGATTTATTTGTCTTTTTCATTGTGCCATCACCATTTGCAAGAGACCAGGGTAGTGGACCTAGAGGGTGGCTCAGCACATCACGCATGTCTAACCTTCTGTTCTGGGCAATGAGAACCATATTTGCAAACACTCTTCTGTCAGCTTTTAGGATGATTTCTGTGTTTGTACACTTGCTTGTTTTCTTGTTAATGTCCGTAAATGATTTCAAATTCATCTTCTTCACGGTGTTGTAGAAACCTTCACCCTTCTGAAGCCGTTCTGCTTGGAACGCCTGATAAGCTTCCTCTCCCTTTTGCCTTGATGTCAAAAGATCGGCAGAAACATCAGGGGGGGCCACTGCTCCAGTGGATATGCAAACAAGATCTGAATCTTCAGAAAGCGGGTTTGTCCAGTTCTCCAATGTATCAACTAATGATCTGATGTCAGATTCATCTCTACGAATGCGTGGCCTGTCCAGGTCTGAATGGCTAAGGGAAGGTGACTGCACTGAAATTTGTTCACGTAGTTGTCTCAATGCAGCTGCTCTGTGTTCAGCAGTGAGATAGTAGCGTGACACGGTCCCTGGCTTGAGACTGAACCCTCGTGTTCCACCAGCAGTTTGGGTGTCTTTGTTTACAGTTTCTTCTGTGGTCTGATCAACTGCAATCCTGCCAAAGGGATTAATTTTCCTCAGTTGAACAGAGAAACCCTTGTTGCGAAAGTGCTCATACATCCATGGACTTGTCTCCTTTAACCGAGTCATCTGAGCAAAGTACACAGGAAGAAACCGTGCATAGTTGGTTTTGTTCATTGCAAAGCACCAAGGTATGACATTTCTGATGCAAGCAAGATGAAGATGCCAGTCTCCTTCTCTATCAGCACGAAGTAGGCCAAGCAGAATATCCACCATGTCAATGTAAGTCATCCAAAAGGCTGAGAGTTGACCTCTTTCATGGCGCAAGACATTTAGGTGACTCATGAACATTTCAGAAATTTCCTTGTATGATTCATCCCTCAATACATCATCTTGTGATTTATGACAAATGGTCTGATGGAGCTTACCTATTTGGATTTTCGCATCACTCAGCTTTGCTAGGCTTTCAGGATGATGGATCTCAAGCCATTCCACAAATTCATTCCATGCTAGCCTCATCAGGGCTTCATATACCAGCTTGTGCAATGGACTGCTCGATTATACTGTTTTCCCTCCAGTACCTTACTGATAGATCCTTCAGCAATGACTCCGGATTCTACTGCAAGGTCACGAAGTCCTGCATCACCAAACCTTTTTCCAATTGCTGACATGAAATTGCAAATCGTGTGAAAGTTTCCCATCATCAATACAATGCCTTTAAACTTGTCAGGGTTTTTCCACACGATTTCTGTAGCTTTTGAATACAGTGCCTGGTCGAAAACAACAGCAATATTCTGAAGCTGTAGAGATGATTGTACAGCAAGAGATTGATGCAGAATGTCTTGCACAGTTGCCATTTCTGTTGCTGGAGCATTAATTGTGGGAATGTAACCAACTGTATCAGCGAATACCTCCATGTCATCTCTTGTCAGTATGTTATATCCTGTCCAAGAACTTATTGTCTGATTTGTTGGATCATGCATTCTGACAAGAATCCAGAGTAAGTTTTGCTGGTGTGCACTTGTTTTTGCGACTTCAAATTCAGTAGAAAGGTCAGCTGGCACAATGGGGGGTGGACCTTCCCTTTTCCCCACAGTGTAGATAGGAAGTAGTTGATCAGAAGGCTCAATTGTTCGCCGCTTCTCTTTCTTGTCCACATTGGTTTTTGATCTTGGTGGCATACATGTCAGAGAAGTTGGCTGAACTATTATGCCATTGACACGATGTGATGTCCCTGATCCACTTAGTACTTCCTCTTGTCTGTCAATGTTGTCAAAAGCAAGTACAGTTGGAACAGACTGATGGATGCTTGCTGGAAGAGGTACTTCATCAATGTCTACATGTTCCATCTTGTCAATACACAGCGCAGTGTCAATCTCCTCCAAGGTTGAGTATGAACAAGAGTGTCCCAAGCGATTTAAAGTTTTGATCAGCTCAACATTACCTGTCAGAGTTTTTATTACCCATGGCAGAAGAATGTGCTTTGGCGTTATTACTTTGCCAACAGTAACAGCAGCAACAATGTCCTGGGCAATGGACCATGAAAGTCTGCTAATGCGAGTTGAGGGTGTCTCTTTGCCACCAAGTAACAGATTCAGAAACCTTATGACACTACTGGGTAAAGAAGAATATGTGGAATTCAATTCTTCAGGACGTGGAGGCCAAGGCTGTTCTTTGATTTCACTCTTTATTTGTCCACATAAGAACATCGCTGTATCACTGACTAATGTTTCATATTTATCATCTGACTTTGCATTCAGTTTGTCCTTCAATGAAACATAATCAGCAGCTATAGTTTCAAGCAACAAGTTGTCAGGTCTGATGTATACCCTCCGTCCCACAGTGAAAAAATGCAAAGATTCTTTAAATTCAACCTCAAGTGTCCGACGAAGATGATACTTAGTTGCATCTGTAACTTCATGAATCCCCTGTTCATTCATTAACATTACAAGATCTGATGTCAAGTCAGTGAGAGGAAGAATACGGGGACTTGAAAAGAGATCATCCCTAATTTTGTCAAACAATATGCTGAGAGCAGCCTTCTCTGATTTTTGATAGGAGTCATCAGATTGTATTTCAGAAGGAATATTTGTTCCTCTTGCTCTTGTATAGTTTTTGTAGCATGTCCTGTGGTAATGTGCTTCTGCTGCAACAATGTCGCGTGATGTAAGAGCGAGGATTCTCTCATCAAGGCGTTCTGTGGCGATCTCACGGACAGTTTTGTCAGCTCTTAGCTCTGCTGCTGGCTTCAAAGGTTCACGGCTGTTTGACCTTTTAATATATTTTGTCTGTCTTTCACAGAAAATACATGTTTTGTCATATACTGTTGAAGGTGCAAGTCCTTTTTTACGAGATTGCCTCGAACAGGAATCCCCAGATTCACTTGCAGAATGTTCTGTTGCTAGTTTAGCCAGTGCCTTTTTATGGGTAAACTCTGATCTACACTTCCTGTGATACTGTACAGTATCAGGCAATGTCTGATCAGCCTCTACAAGTTTAACCAGTGGTTCAAACTGTCTTACATGAGCAGCTTCACATAGAGTCATCCATGAGCTGTCATCTTTGGGGCTTGTCAAGTCTACCGGAGATGACTCTTGACCACATAAAATGCAAAGGTTACTGTCTATCTTCCGTCGTTTTAAGACTGTTTCATGGTCTGACATTTTGCTCTTGACTCAAAGATAAGTTATCTGCCTGTAACAACAGAAAAAAAATCATTTTACTTACAATTTAAAAAAAGAGTAAATACTCACATAATTACTGGTCCCTGCTACAAAGTCTGATGAGAGTTATCTCCCTTGAATAGCAGACAGCTCATGTTAGACAGGTTTTATTAAAGAACAGTATAATTAATACTGTAAGACACTTTTGTATTGACATGTACAATCTTGACAGTACCATAATTGTCTGAGTGTTGTTGTTTTAACTTTATCTTGCTATAAAATCAAATATACTCACGAAAATCATCCTCCAAGTAAACTGTCAACTCCATGCTTGTTGGTGTCAGTGGAAAGGACCAGTCATTGCATCAATTTTATATAAACACAGATGCATTGTATTTATCCATTAACTGACAACAGACAGTAGTTTCAGATGTAATTGGGGAATTATCTTTTTTGTTGCACAATTTAAGGTCTCATTTTGAGTAATTAAACTTCATATGAAAGAAAATATTGTTGTTTTTTTTCTTGCAGGGTTTTAAATAGATAATGTTTATTTTAACTATGGTAATATATGCAAAATTTAATTGCTTTTGTATTAAACTGAAATGCAGAGATTTCATCAAACATGGGGTTAGTAGTCGGAAATTTGTGTGTAAATTTTGAGAACATTTTGAGCAAGGATAACCGGCTTTGCAGTGCAAGAAAACAATGTAATTTCTGTGATCACTTATTATTATAAATACAACAAACAGCTGTTATCAATCACAAAATTTCAATGCTATGTAAAGTCATAACACTGAAGTAAACAATTCTTAATGTCTTTGCATAATAAAAAAATATTTTTTTTATAGATTTTTCAATATAATTTGATAACAGAAAAATATTTATTACATAAAACCATACAAATTGTATATCAAAATGTGTGGAATTTAGTGCCTGACACATTTCATTACACAAAAACTGTCTGGGAATTGTAAATTCTGTTTTTCATGCTTATTTCTGAAATTTGGAGCAAATTGGAAAAAAATGGCGGCCATCTTGAAAATGGCGGCCAAAATGACATTTAGCTGGACATGTGAGATGTCCATCATGTGATTTCATGTAGTTTTGACATCAGGCTATCTGAAAACCACAATGGAAATTTGTCCCTCCATTTGGTAGTCAAACATAAAAATCAGGGGTCTGGCTCATGGACTAACCCGTGAAGCCCGGGGTAGAATAGGTCTTTATCAACCCATGCTTGCCATAAAAGGCGACTGTGCTTGTCGTAGAGATGGCCATTGTATCCCAATTGCGTGGATCGATGCTTATGATATCAATCACTGGATTGTCTGGTCCAGACTCGATTATTTACAGACCGCGGTCATATAGCTGGAATATTGCTGAGTGCGGCGTAAAACAACAAACCATCTCTCTCACTACTTACTGAGTTGTGACTTCAGAGATGCCACTTGTTTATTCAGTGCGGCAATGTCAGCGGCTGCCTGAACCTTGCTTGCCTGTAATGTTGCTGTTGTTGTTTGAAGATTGGTCACGGTCTGCTGAAGGCGATCGACGTGACTCAAGAGGGTGGTGAGATCAACATGAACACTTCCCTGAGGCTTTGACGTAGGCATGATAAGTCCAGAGAGAGTCCCACTCAGCAATATACAAACAAACAGAACTGCCACTATCATTGTGCCTGGTGTTGAAAAGATTAGCCAGTCAGCCGTTTTCAACCCATTTATCTACATTATCCAGATCACGTGGGCACTCCTACATGTAGTTCTGGTAATGGTCCACATCTGCTGTCTCTCATAACGTTAAAAGTGCAAATGCATTTTAGGGTTGGTTGTTTTACGCCGCACTCAGCAAAATATTCCAGCTATATGACGGCGGTCTGTAAATATACGAGTCTGGACCAGACAATCCAGTGATTGATATCATGAGCATCGATCCACGCAATTGGGATCGATGACATGCATCAACCAAGTCAGCGAGCCTGACCACCCGATCCCGTTAGTCGCCTTTTACGAGTCCACGCAATTGCGATCGATGACATGCATCAACTAAGTCAGCGAGCCTGACCACCCGGACCCGTTAAGATTCCGGGGTAGAATATAGGTCTTCAGCAACCCATGCTTGCCGTAAAAGGCGACTATGCTTGTCGTAAATGGCATCGTTTCACTTCTGCTGTCTCCGACAACACAAAGAAAGTTAAATACTAACATGCACATTCCGGACAGATAGCTTATCTCTGTGTGGTTAATTAAGGTAACACCACGACGGGCTCTGCCCGAACAGGTGGTGAGGTGAAATGGGGTTTAACGTCGCGTTCAAGATTATTGCACTTATATAGCGACGTGCATGCGTGTGTGGCTTCTTGTACTAGTCCGGACTGATGCTGATTTATAGTGCTAGCTCACTGAGATACCATGCCGCAGTTTAACATGAATACCCCACTCAGACACAGTATACTAATTAAGGTAGCACCACGACGGGCTCTGCCCGAACAGGTGGTGAGGTGAAATGGGGTTTAACGTCGCGTTCAAGATTATTGCACTTATATAGCGACGTGCATGCGTGTGTGGCTTCTTGTACTAGTCCGGACTGATGCTGATTTATAGTGCTAGCTCACTGAGATACCATGCCGCAGTTTAACATGAATACCCCACTCAGACACAGTATACTGACTCCGAGCCGACCCGTCCTTGTTTAAGCCCCTTAATGCCGAGCGCCAGACAGGGTAACAACAACTACCATGTTTTAACGTCTTTTGGTATGATGCGGCCGGGGATCGAACCCCGGACCTTCCGCTCTACCACTGGACCACGGAGGCCGTCTCTGAACAGGTACAAAATCATGTCAGCGACATATACAAGTAGGGCCACGGTGAATTATTTTATTTTGTCTAAGTATCTTCTACGTAGGACTTAGTATGGTCTAGAATCACTATCTTCTATGTAGGTTGGTTTGTTGTTTAACGCCGCACTCAGCAATATTCCAGCTATATGACGGCGGTCTGTAAATAATCGAGTCTGGACCAGACAATACAGTGATTAATATCATGAGCATCGATAACATGTATCAACCACCCGACTTGGTTGATACATGTCATCGATCCCAATTGCGTGGATCGATGTTCATGATATTAATCACTGGATTGTCTGGTCCAGACTCGATTATTTACAGATATCATCATGACAAAAATCCTGACATTCTGACGAAAACTTCAAATAATAATTACGTTTAACATATTTTAAGATATACACTTTAAATTTTCCAATACCTTTGTAAAATGCATAAAAATAAACGCCTTCAAGCGTTTAAAAAATCAAATTTTAAAGAAATATTTTATAAAATATAATCAAAGATAATGACCATAACAGCCAACTCAAAATTCTTGACATTATACTCAAAATTCTTGACATAATGTTAGTTAAAATTGACATTATATTCCTGATAATTACATAATAATTTATCATTAATGAATCTTAAAAATGATACACGTAATTTAATTTTTCAGAATTCCCCAATGTTCTTGGCAGCTTATAAAGGAACCTTCATTCGCATTCTAGGACCCTCAAGGAATGAAGTCGATTATTTGAATCGAAAAGGATTGGATTTCACTCACTCAATGTTCAGGTAATAATATTATGTTTATTAGACTTAATAATTGTTATTGCCTGAAGCTAAAATCACTTTATGTTCATGTACTTTTTATGTTTCATGAAATGTATGAAAATAGAATCTATATTTTCAAATTCACAAATCACTACCTACACAGTGGCAGCCAAAATATGAATCATACCATTTCAGTTATTCTTTTTACTGACCTGCTGTGTTTTTTGCTTATAAATGTATTGAACTGACCTATTAAATTAATTCTATCACTTATCAGGTGATATGCGATGCCATTTATAAGTTCAGCAATTGTGTTGCGAAGTGGCCAGGGAGTGTCCATGACAGCCGCATCTTCCGGGATAGTAAAATCAGCGTTGCTTTTGAAAATGGTATGATTTCATGAATCATCTTTAATATAACATGATTTGAACTGTAAATTATACCAAATGACAAAGCTCTTAAGGACACAGTTCATTTACAGAACCAATAATATTTATTGCTGAGTGTTGGTTGGTTGTTTAACGCCGCACTCAGCTATATGACGGCGGTCTGTAAAAAAAAAAAAAAATCGATTCTAGACCAGACAATCCAGTGATTGATATCAAGAACATCGATCCACGCAATTTGGATCGATGACATGCATCAACCAAGTCGGCGAGCCTGACCACCCGATCCCGTTAGTCGCCTTTTACGACAAGCATAGTCACCGTTTACGGAAAGCTTGGCTTGGTTTGGCTAGTTGTTTAACGCCGCACTCAGCAAAATTCTACCCCGGAATCTATTGCTGAGGGAAAGAGATAAAAAGCCTCTTGATATGATTATTTCTTAAAATGTATTATGATGGTTCCAAGACAATTGGTTATTGCATCACTGTTAAATCAGTAATAATAAATTCATTTTCTGCATGTCATGATCAAATGTCACCAGAAAGAATTACACAAATTCTAATCTGCTTCATTTTATAGGAACATACAAGGGCTTTCTCCTTGGAGACTCGGAATATCCATGCAAGTCGTACTTAATGACACCTTTCCTCACCTCGTAAAACGCGACTAACGGGATCGGGTGGTCAGGCTCGCTGAATTGGTTGATGCATGTCATCGATCCCAATTGCGTGGATCGATGCTCATGATGTCAATCACTGGATTGTCTGGTCCAGACTCGATTATTTACAGACCGCCGTCATATAGCTGGAATTTTGCTGAGTGCGGCGTTAAACAACAAACCAACCAACCAACCAACCAAATGTAAAATGTGGTCAAAAGAAGTTTGCTTTCAATAAAAAATTTGATAATGCTGGTTAATATTTGGTATCTTCCTGCTTCTTCTAATTCGTTTGTACAGGTAAACAGTAGCTATTAGACAGCCCAGGTATAGTCAGGGATGAGTGACTTTGCTAGTTAGACAAAGTAGGCATGTTGATCCATCCATGTTACCGTCAATAGGAATGAATGAAATTAAAACAAAGACAAATTTTCTTGTATTATTTATTTATGTATCTTAGCAATTAAAATAGCCATGAACATAATCTACTACCATAGGTTATGGTGGAAAGACAGATATACTATAGCAATCTCCATAACTGATCATAGTACCGGATTACTGTTTCTTGGGAAATGATCGAAAAATGTTTTTTGCCCTTTAAAATATGATCACAGACAGTTGCCATTGAAATATGAAGTAACTACCGATCTACCTATAACTGTGGTTTGAAGTACTTCAGTGACAAGGAGTTCTATATTGTCAAACTAACTTATTTCACTTACATTTCTTGAAAGATTAAAGAAAACCCTTTAATTAATCATATCCTATTAATAAGAATTTAATATCCTATTAATAAGAATTTAATATGATTAATTAAAGGGTTTTCTTTAATCAAGAAATGTAAGTGAAATAAGTTAGTTTGACAATAGAGATTTTTATGATAATCATATCCCATTACTAAGAATTACGACCCATGAAGATTCCGGGGTAGAATAGGTCTTCAGCAACCCATGCTTGCCGTAAAAGGCGACTATGCTTGTCGTAAAAGGCGACTAACGGGATCGGGTGGTCAGGCTCGCTGACTTGGTTGATGCATGTCATCGATCCCAATTGCGTGGATCGATGCTTATGATATCAGTCACTGGATTGTCTGGTCCAGACAAGATTATTTACAGACCGCCGTCATATAGCTGAGTGCGGCGTTAAACAACAAACCAACCAACCAACTAAGAATTTGAATAAATACACTGCTTTATTAATCTTCATCTCAAGTTGTCCCAACCAAAAAACACCCCTATACTCATTGACAGACTCGCCCAAACAGATTATACGGGTAAGTGACTTACATGAGATAAGATAAAATGTTATTAAGGTGTCAAACGTCATATGATATAGTGGAATGAAAACAATCATCGCAACAATATTCTTTACTGTCCGGCCTAAAAGGCCTATGAGACATAATATTATGTTGCTGATATAATAAGATTGGTTGGTTTGTTGTTTAACGCCGAACTCAGCAATATTCCAGCTATATGACGCCGGTCTGTAAATAATCGAGTCTGGACCAGACAATCCAGTGATTAACAGGATCCCAGCAAACAATTCTACGTTGTGACAACGTTGACTTTTCGTTGCTACAACGTTGTGATGCAACGTTGTCACAACGTAAATCTGTAGACTCCCAGATTGGTTGCTACAACGTTGTGCGTAAGCCAAAATACAACCAAATCAAGACGTTGTCACAACATCCATTTTTTACGTTGCTACAACGTTTATCCAAAACGTCGCGACAATGTAGGTATCGCATACAATGCAATGTCCATGTAGATTAACGCCTGTCTTTTTCCTCAATACCTCCCAGGCAGCCTGAAAAGTTTGAACCAATCTAGTTAAGACACCAGGTACCAAGCAATACATTCTGCAAACTGAATTCACTTTAACCCTATCCGTGAACAGTGTTGCATTGGTCTCCAAAAGAATGGGGTCCCTTTGGAAGTGGTAGCGGCCAGCGCCGTAGGCGCGAACCTATCTAGGGGGGGTTTGGGGGCATGCCCCACCCAAGAAATTTTGCTAAATGCAGACCTGAAATGGTGAACTTTAGGCTATTCTGAGCAAAAATAAAGTGTCTGGTTGAAATCTTTAAGTGTCTGTTTTTATGTGTGTATTTTGTAAAACTCATAGCCATATTCTTCATCCAGTCATTTTTGATATATGACAAACTAATTTTTTGTGCGTGAAGATGTATTGACTGAACAATAACATGTAACCATCCTTCAAGATGAAAGTGTCATCAAA